TATAAAAGTTTAGGGACTAAATTGTAAAGTTTCATAGTTGGTAGGTTAGTTTAGGGTTTGGGAATTCATGTTTGGAACAAGAAGGATTCACGCCAATTTTTCGCTAGCTGCTCGTCGGAGTCATGTTTGAGCGGATGAAGCAGGAACATCCTAGCTCAACCTTCGTCCAATTGTCACTCAAGCGACAGACCCTTTGCTCGAGCGAAATGTACTTCTCGTTCGAGCAACTGATTATATCAGTCAAACCTAATTTCGATTTCCGAGATTTTTACTTGGCCCAATTTTCTTAAACTATCCAACCTATAAATAGAGGCGCTGTATATTCTACTGAATGGAGATCGAACACACTATTTTCCAGAGTGAATTCATCCTATACAAGATCAAAAGTTCAATCCTTCAATTATATATGTGCTCATCATATTGAGAACATAAAATCCATCAAGTCAAATACCAAACTGCATTCTTCGCTTGGGTCTGTAAGAAAGATTGTGTCATCAACGTTGATGCTTTAAAGATTAAGGAAGAAGTTGAAGAACGAGATTTACATGAGATAAAATGCGTAAAGAGTTAGGATTGGAGTTCGTGTGCTCATTTCAAGAGGAATGTTTTACAAAGAAGAGCTAGGATTGGTGTTAGTGTGCACATTCAAGGAGGGCTGCTTCAAACATCAGATAAGAGATCATAAAGTTTGTGTCATCAACTTTGCTGGTAGTCTGTAAGTTTATCGAAAGTGTATAGTGGATCTTTAACTGGCAAAGTGCTCGGAGTTTTTCCGCGTTGGGTTTCTCCGTCAACAATTCTGGTGTTGTTTACTGCTGTTCTTATGGTTTTGATATTACTACGGCATTTAAAGACAGGGCTAATTGAATTGTTTGATTAATCACCTAGACATAATTAACTTGTGACATGTTGCTTGTTAATTATTAAAGTTTTAATTCTACATTTACACCTAATCACCCCCTCTAGGTGTAGTTAGGTCGAATCTTGCATTTTTCAAATGGAACTCTGCTCTTCACACATTCTGCCATTATATGCTCACTCTCTCGCTGAACCATCTCTACAATTTTTGTATCAGTCTGCTCGTGCTCCGGCTCATTAATTGGTTCACTCTCCCCAATATTAACTGCATTTTTCAATCCACCATCCTCCATCTCAACTTCCTTAATTCTGGACTCCTCCTGCAATTCAACTCCGGTGTTCTCCTTAAGTATGGTCATCTCTCTCTTTTGCTTTTCCCGTTCTGCCTCACCTCTCACCTGCCATCAGTCTACAAAGGATTGTTCTAGTGTCAACCCAGCCAAAGTGATTTTTACCCTGTCCTGAAGAAACCTATACCTATTCCTCTCCATATCATAAATAGTCTTCATCTCATACCTCCAAGGTCTCCCAAACAAAATATGAAAAGATTTTAAAGGAACTACATCACACCAAATTTCATCACTATATCTCCCAATAGTGACATTCAATAAAACCCGCTTGGTGACATCTACCTTCCCACACTCCTTCAACCAAGTCATCCTAGGCCTAGTGTGTTGTTGTAAAGGTAATCCCAATATTTCCACCTTCGTGATATTAGCCAAGTCTGATATGTACTCCTTATCAATAGCCAGACTGGATACCGTACTACCCACAAAACACCAGGTTTGAAAAATAAATCAACAATCATCATACATCATTTACGTAGGCATAATCAAGAAGATTCAATAAAAGAATTGGACAATTGGATGAGTGATATTTAAATTCAAGAAAGTGGTTCTTGAATTTTTGGATTGGAATGAATATAAACAGATTTTGGATTTTGGATAAATAATATGATAGTGTCAATTTCCCAAATAAATCAAGTAAAAAAAATTTTTTTTGTATAGTGACGACGTAAACAGTACCAGTGAACATTTTTTTTGTAAACTCGAAAATTGACTATGATATCAATGAAACAAACAGAAGTTGATTTGGATGCTAGATTAGCTCCAAAAACACCTTTGACTCCTTTTTTTAGAATTTTTTAGATTAAAGATTCAAAATTTACGACGGACACGAAGAACAAAAACAAAAGACTCAAAAAAACAAAAAAGATAGAACCTGAATCTGGAGTCCAACCTTTGATACCAAATGACGCGAAGGGTGCCTAATCCTTTGATAAGTTCTAAGGGTTGAACGCCACAAATATAACAATATTTGATATGTGCGGTACATGTTCAATTAAGAACAAAAAGAGAGAAATCTCATTTAATTCATAATGTCAAAAATGTTCTTAGTTTTACAATGATATAAATCTCATATTTATACTAATGCTAGAAACCCTAATAAAACTTAATTAGGTCATAGAATATTGTCAAAGTTGAAAATGAAATAGAATCCTAAACTATCAAGGAAGTCTCGCGAAAATTCCGCTAACTTGTTCTCGGCATGTTTTTGTGCGATCGCAAGCCCGAGCCCTTCACGAAACTTGAACATTGGTTTGTCAACTTCTTCAATTTGGACTCCAAAAGCTCGATCAAGTGATTTCCTATCCCGGATCATATCAAGTCAAAAATAGAAATCACAAATTATCTCGTATTCAGATCAATGTTGGGGAGGTTTTGTAAATCATGATACATCTCCATATATGTTATAGCAAATGTTAAAAAAAATTACAGAAACACCCTCTTTATTAGTCATCCAGTTCCATGACCATAACCATTTACATCCCTTTAAAATTCACCAAAGTAACAATCTGGGATGAGTACCGATTTCATATCTGCATTATAATTCCCAATTTTAAAAAAAATGTTAGATGAAGAAAAGGAAAAAAGCTAAACAAATGGTCCATTATAGAAGGTCTGGGCTATGTGGGCTTATCCGTCTGATACCAAACAGCCCAGTCACTGTCTTGGCCATTTATTATCAAATGGCGTCCTAGCCATTTGTTATCAAAAGACCCAAATGGCGTATGGGGTCGACTCGTAATATGGTCATACTGTCCAGATGAATTTTTTCCTTTTTTGTTTAAAAAATTTATAAATTTGTCCAATAAATTGTAACAATGTATATAGAAATGTTAAAATAAGTCGAAATATGGTTTAATAATTAAAAATGTAAACTAATTTAACAAAAACGACATTAAATATTTGCAAATGTACTTACCGGTTCAAAGTAATGAATATTCACGAGATCTTTGTATTGAAATTTTTAGGTTTTAATGTTGGAGAAGATGAAGAACGAAAGTGCCTTTAGTTGTGTTGGAGAAAATGAAGAAAGAAACTTTAGTTTGAAATTGGAATTAAGATGCGTTATTTTTGTTTTATAATTAAAATGATATTGATGTCTTTTTATTCTGGCTTATTTTAGTAAAATTAGTATTTGGGATAATTACAGCTGCAGTTCCAAACCTTTCTCTTTTTTGCAGACTTTATCTCAACATTCACTTTGTGTCATCCACAATCTCAAACCTTTCATATTGTTGCAGCACCCCAACTCCAAAACCAAATCTGAAACACAATTGCCACCACTACCTACCACTCGTTACCCATCACCACTAGTCGACTACCACCAAAGGCACCTCCAACAACAACTCTAATTGCGTCTTCACCGAAGGCGGTTGCTACAGCAACTCCATCACCATCCAATTTCATATCTTTCCCTCATCTAACCCCAACCAAACCAAATTAAAATCCACTCACCCTTACCGCGTCGGCGACCACCAACACATTTATACACCGCTTCAAAATTACTCAGTTTGTACGCTCCATCATTTGGTGCTTCAATTTCAAAATTGGACTAGACGTGTGTTGGACCTTGATATTAAAGGATTGCTTGCAATTTTCTCTTTAAGCTACTATATTGAACCTACAATTAAATACTCCATGTCAATAAGCTTCAGTTTTTGTGGTTTTTAGTTTGGATGAGAAAAGAACTGGATCAGAGCCTTCCACGAGGGTTTGGAGAATGTGAAATAGCCTTGAGAGAGGAGCGGATGATAAGATTGAGATAAAAGAAAGAAAGTTCATTTCTAGAGAGAGAGAGTGAAGGGGGATTAGTGAAAAGAATCCATTTTACAGAAGATCTTGAAAAAAAATTGGTATTTTTTGGTGGATTTTCTTCTATCTATGGTTTCATCGGACGATGGAGCGATCTTGATTTTCCGGCGAGTTTGATATCATTTTTTTGGTGAATTTTGCTATAACTGAAATCTGGTGAGATTTTTAGATTTGTAGCTATATTGTGATTACAGAGCATAGACAAGTCATTGATGGAGAGAAACAGAGAGAGCCACAAATCTAGTATCGCGGGTTCTAATGGCTTTAACAAAAGGAGACCCATGACCAACAGTCACAGAGACTTTCCTAGTACACGAGAAACTCATTTTTACACATATCTGATTCAGTTTCTCACATAGATTTGATCTTTTTTCTTGTCAATAAGCTTCAGCTTTTGTGGTTTTTGGTTTGACTGGGTTGGGGTAACGGTAGCTCTAGTGGTACTTGCAGTGGCCGACAGACGGGTGGGTAGAGGTAGGTGATGGTAGATAGAGTCTGTTTTGTTTTGGGTAGGGTGGAGCAAGGAAGAAGATAACTTTTTATTTTTGTTTCTTTTTTTATTTTTTATTGTTTTAATTATTTTATGTGGTAATTGTAAAGTTACAAATTTGTCCTTTTTAAATTTGTCAAAAGAGTAAAAAAAAAAAAAATTGGTCAACTTACGGTCATACGAATGGAATCCGTCCATTTGTACTTATGCTGCAACAATGTGAAAGGTTTGGGATTGTGGATGGTACAAAGTGAAAGTTGAGGTAAAGTTTGCAAAAAAGAGAAATGTTTGGGACTGCAGCTGCAATTATCCCTTAGCATTTTTGTCAAAAGGGCTTGTTTGATAATATGGGCGATTGATTGGGTCAATGTCAAAATTCATCTCCCTAGTCCTTTGCGGAGTCGAGCAAGCTCCATTTCTTCATATCCGCGAATCCAAAAAGGAAAGCTCACACGAAAAGAGGGTTGAAAATAAATATAAAAAGAAGCAGAGAAATGGGTAGAATATGGGGCTTGGTGGTTGTGGTGGTTGCAGTAGTGGGAGTGGTGATGATGAGGACTCAGCTGGGGAATCAGCTGGGTTGGGACAGAAGCAAACACTCGGCCCTGATGCAATGGTTGAGGGACATGACCGATCGACTGGGTTGCTGGGCTATCCCTGCATACGTTGGAGTCCACACTCTGACCTTGGCGCTTTGCCTGCCATACGCCGTCTTCTTCGAGGCCGTGGCTTCCGTGCTGTTCGGATTTTTGCCCGCCCTGCTATGCGTCTTCTCTGCCAAGATCCTTGGGGCCTCCCTCTCCTTTTGGATCGGCAGGCACGTCCTTTCTTCTCTCTCTCTGTTTTTTTTTCTTCTCTTTCACTAATCATGGGTCCTGTTCATCTTTTCTTTGAAATAGGTGTATTTGTATAGGCAATCTATTAAACATTGCATTTTTAATTTCTGTTTCTGACTATCAATAATTGGTTGTATAAGGTTCCTGAGACCCACAGTACAAGAATACTTGAAATGAAAGTGGAATTACTTAGAATTACCAAGTCAGAAAGGAAAACTGAGTGATGTTAAGGATTCTCAATTGGGTTCATTAGAAATTCGGGAACAAATTGATCTAGGCTAGCCTTTACCCTTCTTGAAGATCTAAGACCATTTTGGAGCGATTTATTAATATTTTGTTTAAAATCACATTCCACTTGTCTAGTTGGTAGCATTTTCATTGAATTTATGACAGGTAGGAGAACTTCTGATTTTATTGTTGTGAGAATTAAGGGAAGATCTACTAGCATCTTGAGGGGATAACTAAAATATGGCAAAGTTTTTTGAAGTTGTTTATAAATAATTTAAAATATAAATAGATAAAAACGAGTAGTAGAAAAGTAGTTAGTACTTGTGGTCCTTATGAAAAACATTTGGATAAAAAGTGGTTTGACCAACTATAAACAATTTGTACACGGTAGCCAAACAAGGGCTTAGTGTAGAGTCGGTCCTTTCATTTTTGTGGATATAGATTTTGAGTCGTAATATGACAGTGCTCAGTTTATTTTATTTTGAAATTCTTCTAGGGAAATTTCTAGTACAGGTATACCTTAAAGTGCTCCCAATGTATAGAAACTCAGTCTTTTGGTCTTTATTTTCAACATATCACGGTTAATTTTTTTTTTTGATAACCCTGGATGTCCGGGTGAGATTGCGCACACCTCGACTAATCCCACGAGCTCTAAAGTTTACGGTCGGGTACTCATCTCACTGCCCTGAGGGAACTCGAACTGGTGGTCATTGGGGAGCAAACTCAAGACTTGACCAATTGAGCAACCCTCAGGGTTACGGTTAATATTTTTTATTATTATATTTTACCGTTTCTAAATTTTCAAGTTTTCCTTCTTCTTCTCACTTCAAGCAAATTAAACCTATCTTCCAAAGCTTCATTGCTGATTGATAACAGACTTCCAGCCTATCAATTATAAAAATTTCGTTTGAAGAGTCACGTATCACATATCTGTAATGTGTTTAGTGAATTTTAGTAATCCCTGCAAGGAAGAGTCTCTGAACTTCTTCTACAATAAATACATTTTCGTGCTTTCTCTGTCTTGATTCTTCTAACTCCATAGCTCATTACTTCCATCTGATTGAGTGTAAAAGCTCCTCTACAAACTAGACCTATGTCATCAGCAATGACCAATATTTTAGATGAACTGAACTTCTTTTGCCATGATGTCCCCGGCCTTGTATTTTCCTCGAAAATTGTCCAAACTGGCAACTGTTTTCAAAAATTACTTGTAATGTCTATTGCGCAAGTTCTAACTGTAAGCTCCACTGTGTTGTCAATATGGTATTACCTGCTGATAATTTCATCCATCCCCTTTCGCTGACGAATTGAAGTTTCATTTCGTGCATGGTGTTTCGAAGCATCGTGGTCATTAAAAGTTCGAGAAATTCAGCTGAAACTTTGAGTACATGTTTGTATTCTCAACCTATGTTTGCACGAACTTGTTTGGTTAGGGCAGCAAACCCATACCAACGTGACAAGCACGGAGTCCATTAAAAGCTTTATGTCAGATTCCGCATATAATTATCAATTGAACAAGATTCTTCGGCATGGGAGTTGTAATTGAAGATATATTATGGTATCTGTGAGGAATTCTATGATTGTGTCATCTCACCCTTCATTTCGTGCCTCTATATACTAATATATATCTTAGCTTGCAAGAGAAGCAGTAGATCAACACATCAACCAGTCTTGCTTTTCCATCTTTCCCATCCAGAGACCAATTATTATTTTTATAATCTTGATGAGTGCCTGAATATAGTTTATCAGATAAGCTATTAAGCATAATTGGTTTTCTCTTAGGTTTTGACATTACTCATAATCATCTTATAGTTTACAAGGGAAGAGTCTTAGAACTTGGAGGACAAATGATAAGAAACATTGTTTGCTCATTCTTGAGTTTTGAGATGATAAATTAATCATAAAAGAGAATGACAATCACTGGTGCAATTGTTGGTTTGAGGGGTGCTACGGTGGTTGACGGCATTATGACAGTTAGCTGAGTGAGAGAGAAACATTTGATATGCCAATAAAGTAACGTACTTCATTTAGAAACTTTGATGAGAAAATATTGAAGTAATCAACTTTTGAGTTAATTGTACATACTACATAATAATACAAATAATATAGTGAAGAAAACAGAAAAGGGGAATCGACAATTTTTTATTTTAAACAATACATGGAACTTAGAAATTCAAAAAGATTGGAGAATAAATGAAAATCATATAATTTACCAATGCACATAAATACTAATATAAAGTAAGCAAATACAAAAATCCATTCCCGATAAGTAAAGGAAATCACAATTATGTCAAGTTTACTAAAAAAGTTGAAAAACTCACTGACATGAATAGAGCCGTCTCCTCTGAACATTTTACACAACTTTCTTTGTATAGGGTCGAGCATTCAACCAAAATTTGACGAGATTTTTTGCGTAAAAGAAAATGGTTCACGAAATGAAACACTGTTGGTATTAAATAGAAGTTTTAATTTTTATGGGTTCCAACCCCCAGGGTGTCTACAAAAGGGTCAAATTGAATGAAGTAGAAACCTCGTTTTCTTACCAGGGAAATGCTGCGTTTTTCAGCACTTTTGGCAGACCTCAAATAGTCTCAATTTCCTTTCAACAAATGTTGGTTCGGGTTCTGAGTGAGTGGATTAGCTAGGCCCGACTATCTTTGTAGAACATGGATCTCTTCTTTCTACGCCAATGTCTGCCTATCTTTAATGTCCGGCTTTTTGGTAAAAAATTATTAAAATCCCCAGAATTCTGGAGGGGGCACATATCTCCCAGGCCCCTTCTCTTCGTCTTTGATGATAATTGAAGAAAAAGACGACATAATATATTGTGTTGTTCACATTTTCTTTAGGCAGTCTTCCCTGTCTGTTGTATCTAGTAATTGGCAATGAAACCAGTATGCAACTTATTGTTTTGGCACATGGCAATCTCAACTTTTGAAGAATCTCCACTTCCCTTTCACATCCTTCCCACTACATTGTCCTGATCGTTTGTGCTGAACTGAAGCTCTGTCTCCGTGCTATCATCACTATTTTCTAAGACCATAGTTCATCCCACCTACCGTTCTAAATTTGCATGTCCACAAATTTCCTTCAGATCTTGGGGGACATAAAGAGCTCTTCGGTAGCAAATGTACATGTCACGCGTTTTCTATAACGTGATTTATATCGCAAGTGTACAATGTCAAGTTTTGTAATATAATAATAGAGTTTAAAAGTCGAACCCACGGTGATTGTAATTCAAATTTCTACTAAGTACTATAATTATATAATCTCTATTTTATCAAGATGAATGAATTTTATAATCAATGTTTTTAAACTAATACTCAAGTGCTAAGTAAAAACTATTCCTATATTTCAATTTCAATATCTCTATTCCGAATTAAAATATAGAATTTATCAAGGTCGTGGTTCTTAAATGGAACATGCATCAAAGGAATTATACTTTCTCTCGAAAGCTATAATTTCATATGTTGTGTTATTCTTATGATCAAACCTAAACTCCCCCATCTCCAGTGTCGGAATTGACATCATCAAATCATTAAATTAGTGGCCAATTAATTGAAAGCATTAAAATCATAACACAAATAAGCACACTCGGAAAATCTAATAGAAATAACTAAAATTAATCAATCTATATTCTCAAGTTTTTGGCTACAATCAAACCCTAGATAATGAATTTAGCTCATGATGTAATCTATGAAAATACTAAAATTCATATAAAAAGACATAGGGAAAATAATAGAAAAACTAGGATGTAGATCTTCAATTTCTTCTCTTGTTTTTCTTTTTCTTATTCTTGAATCTCTTGATTTTTTTTCCCTTGCCTTCTTGAAGAATTGTGTTTTTAATTTCCCATTGTCTATTGAACCGTTCTCCCCTCTAGAATTAGGTCTTAAGGGTTGTATTTATAGTATTTTGAAGTCTTGGAAGGGTTGGAGTCTTGTTGGGCCAAGAAAAGAGTCCAAAAAAAAATCTAAAACTTTTCTCGCCCAGTGTCGCCTCGGTGTCACAATCGTGGCACTGCGGCGCCCAATTGCGAATGGAAATTCAGCACTACGCATCTTTCAGTATTTTTATCATAACTTTTTCTCCCAATGTCCAATTGAAGCGATTCGAGATGCGTTGGAAAGATAACTCAAAGGGCTATAACTTTGCTTAAAATATCATTTTCCAATTCAGACATTTGCTAAGTCAAAAATGAGTCTCAATATGAGACCGAAAATCCGGAGCACAACTCTTTCGGTTGGAAATCAATGTGTGATCATACTTTGCATATGTTTTATTCATTTGATTTCTTTCTTCATCCAATTGACTTTTAGCATTCTTAAATCTTCATTGCGATGTCCAACACAACTTGAGTATTTGCACTTTAGTCCCCGAATTTTAGATTCCTTACAATTTAGCATTCTTCTCGAATTTTGTTAACTTTTACTTATTTCCTTCAATTTAATCAACTTATATTACAACATCCAAACACACATTAAAACGCTCAAAAACTTGTAAAAATTAGTTAAATATCTAGTTTAGATTATGTCTAAAGTATCAGTGAAATATACTCATCAAATACCCTCAAACTTAATACTTTGCTAGTTCTCGAGCAAACACTAAAAAAAAAAAAAAAAAAA